TAGTGTGAGCCTGAGGTAAAAGTGGAGTTCCACCAATATGGGAACTGGTGAGGCTGAAATGATGTGGACTGGCAAGGCTGCATTGATGGGCACTGATCAGACTGCATTAATGGGCAGTGCAGTCTGTATGTCTCTGTGTAGGCAAAGTTATTGCTGGTATATTGTTTTTGTAGCACTGTATATATATATTGGTATTTTACTAATAGCAATTTGGAATCCCTAGGAAACAATGATATCAAGAAAGAGAAAAATTGACTTGGAGTGTACGATATTCAAAGAACACTGGATTTATGATTATTTTTTCTTGAAGTACAAAGAAAGAGCTGTGTGTTTAATATGCCAGAATATAGTGTCTGTGTTCAAAGAATACAATTTGCGTCAACACTACCAAACTCAACATAAAGATAAATATGATTGGTCAGAGAAGTGAGAAAAGATTAAATATTAAAACTGAAAAATACATTGACAACTCAGCAAAATACTTTTGTGAAGCAGGAGCAGCTAAAAATTTTATGACTGCGAGCAAGTTTTCAAGTTGCCAAGCTAATAACGTGCACTGGCAGACCATTTGTGGAGGGAGAATTTGTTAAAGAATGCCTTCTTTCTGTTGCCAAAGAGATGTGTCCAGAGAAGGCCGATTTATTTAGTACAGTGAGTATTTCAGGACCTACAATTACACAAAGGATTGAAGAAATGGGAGACAATTTGCATGGGCATTTTCAAAACTCCACAAAAAAACTTTCCTACTTTCCTTGACACTTGACGAAAGTAATGATGTTCGTGATTCAGCACAACTTCTAATTTTTATTCGTGGGATGAATGACTATTTTGTAGTTACAGAAGAGCTTTGCACTGCAAAGCATCAACAGAACACCCACAGGAGAGGATATCTATGAAAAGGTTTGCCAAACTGTGAATGGTTTGGAGGTGGACTGGGCTAAACTAGCCAGTGTGAAAACTGATGGTGCTCCTAGCATGGTGGGGTCTAAGAAAAGAGTAATTGCTCGCATTGACCAAGAGATGGAAAAACATAACCATTCTCATCCAATAGCCATAAACTGCCTCATCCACCAACAAGCGCTGTGTAGTAAATCACTGAAGTGGAACTCTGTTATGAAAATGATGGTACCTTGTGTTAACTTCATTAGAGCGAATGCACTAAACCACAGACAATTTCAGGAATTTCTGTCTGAGCTAAATATTGCTTATGAAGATGTTCTGTACCACACAGAAGTCCGTTGGCTGAGTCGAAGGAGAGTCTTGAAACATTTTTATGGCTTACTTCCACAGATTACAGCTTTTCTGTTTTCAAAAAGCAAAGAAGTACCAGAGCTCAATGATGCCGAATGGAAATGGCACCTTGCCTTTCTGACAGATGTAACAGAGCGACTCAAGTTTCAGTGTGCAACTTCAAGGAAAGGGGAAGCTCATCAGTGATATGCAATCACATGTGAAAGCATTGAAGTACAATTAGGCCTCCTCATCAAACAAGTGAGGGAGGAAAATTTCTGCCATCTCCCCACAACTCAAACTCTGTTAACGGAAAAACCATTGGTTGTATTCCCAAACAAAACGTGTGGATTCACTGGAAAAGTTGCAAAAGGATTTCTGATTTAGATTTAAAGAGCTTCATCTCCATAAACAGGACAGAGCTTTTCTGTAACCCATTTTCTATTGACATTGACAATGTGGATACAATTACCAAGTGGAACTGGCTGAACTGCAGAATTGTGACTCTCTGAAAGACGCATTCAAGTCAAGCAGCCTTCCTAATTTCTAGGCATCTCGCCCCTCTGAGACATCCTAATCTCAGGAACCATGCACTCAAAATGGCAGCCATCTGTGGCAGCACTTATGTCTGTGAACAGACTTTTTCCAGAATGAAACATCTGAAATCTCCAATCAGATCTAGACTAACCGATGCACACTTGCATCACTTGTTATGACCAGCAGTGACAAATATGGAACTGGACATTGACCATCTCATTAGCAAAAACCAGGCCCATAGTTCCCATTGAGATACTGGTAAGTTTGTTGATTTAACTTTCCTTGTTCTTCATTTTAAATATTGTATTTGTTTCCATTTTGTTTTTTTCACTTAAAAATAAGATATTGCAGTGTGCATGGGAATTTGTTCATAGTTTTTTTTTAAACTATAGTCTGGCCCTCCAACAGTCTGAGGGACAGTGAACTGGCCCCCTGTTTTAAAAGTTTGAAGACCCCTGGACTAGATGGTAGTGGCTTTTGGTTTTTGATTTTCTTTGCTTTCTTCATGTACTACGTACTTGATGTCATCGCACAACTCGGCTAGTCTTTGGTTATTAGTGTTCAGTGCATCCTGCCTACCTGTGAGTGGGCTCTAAATTCAGGTGGGGTGTCCTTGAGATTATAGTTTGGCTCTTGTGAACTTGTTTACATTTTCTTCAGCTTCAACTTCAGATTTCGTAGAGTGATTGATGATCAGTTACACAAGCATCCTCTGGTCTTGTTCCAGCTGATGAATATTAAGTTTCCCCACCCTCTATTTCCCCTGAGGGAATTGACTTGATCCCTATAGATTCCATCTGATGGGATGGCTTATGTTGCTGAAAAAAGGGTATGTACAATGAATAAGTCATTGGTATTGCCAATTTCTAACAGGCTTTGCTTCTGTCATCAAAGCCATATTTCCAAACTACCAATCCTTCTTCCGTGTTCCAAACATTCTCCTTCCAATCACCAGTAATTATGTCTCTTGATTTAGTGCTAATTGGTTTCAGATTTTGGTCAGAAGCCTTTTAATGTCTTGATTGAATGTTTATTGCTAGTCTTCTGGTTACTTGGAGAATTCAAAGATAAGTGACTATAAAGATATTAACCAC